GGTGGCCTTCTATCCCCCCCCCCCCCCCCCGGCTTCAGCTGGGCTGAGCAACTGACCCCCCCCCAAACGTTCAGTTTGGTTTCCCTTCCCCTGGTTTAGCTAGGCCCGGTTGCAGCCCGGATTTCTTCTCCAGCCTTTCCTGGCTCCCTGGAGCGCTGGTTAGGGTGCCTTCCTTTTTCAAGGGCATGTCGATATTCTAATTATGTATTCCTGCTATCCCGTGGTCTGTTCATTGTCTCTGGAATCAAAAGCAAGTTTGATTCTGGTTCTTGTTGAGCGGCAATGCAGGGAAGGGTCAAATTATTCTAACAAAATTACAGTAAATCCACTGGCACAGCATTCCAGTGCATGTGGAGCTTGTAAAAAGAGTTATTTAGTTTATGGTCTACCCAGCAAGGGGGTTAGGTTACATTCTGATATCCCAAAGGTGCTTTTTCAAAAGGCAACTGGACTTTCTTTGTTTTTCCTTGAAGATGTTTGGCTTCTCATCCAAGAAGCTTCTTCAGTTCTGACTGAAACTAAAACACATCAAAGAAACTTGTGGCTATCCCAACTGGGCCTTCATCAAATCCCTCAAAACACCCAGCAGGATCTCTTCTACAACAGGCAAAGAAGAGAACAACAAATGAAGCAATATTGTCATCCCATACATTGCAGAATATCTGAAAAGCTCAAGAGGATTTTCAACCAACACAACACACGTGCACATTTTAAATCCAAAAATACACTAAGGAAGAAGCTTGTCTACCCCAATAATAAAACACCCAGACACATACTGAGCAATGTGATATATGCAATACAATGCAGTGAGACATGTGCAGATCCATACACTGGAGAAACAAAACAACCACTCCACAAATGCATGGCACAACATAGGAGAACAAACCCATCAAGACAGAATTCAACAATCCATCTGCATTTCAAAGACAAAGGCCACTCTTTCGAAGATTGCTGGTTTGAAAGAGGAGTCAAAGAGGCCATCTATGTCAAAATTGAACAGCCCTTTCTCAACAGAGGGGGAGGGATACGATGCCACCTATCTTCTGTTTACAACCCAGTCCTTCCTGCAGTTCCAAGAAGGTTCCATACCCATTTGCACTATTCAGGTGACAGATAAACCTCCAAGTGGCTTCAATGACTGAGAAAGAGTACTAATAGCCAGATGACTGCAAGGAATATAAATCCTTCCATTCTCTATCCTTCTCTATCTCTATCCTTCCATTCAGAACTGAAGAAGCTTTTTGGATGAGGAGTGAAACATCTTCAAGCAAAAACAAAGTTTAGTTGCCTTTTGAAAAAGCACCTTTGGGACAACCATGACCTGGATGACTGAGAATCTCCATAGACAGTTATACCCTGATATTTCTGGTCTGGAAAATCAAGGCACCCTTTGTCCATTTTTCAAGAGGATTAACAAAGTGGTTGAAATGGACAATTTGCTAGAAAAAAATCAGTTACATGTGATTGGTTTGTGTCAGTCCTACAAGTTAGAGCAGACCAGGTAACTAAGGCCATAGAGGTCAAGACCACTTTTATTGTAACAACTGTAGAACAGAATCTTGCAAATCTGAATATGCTTCCCTCCTTCCTCTCTTTATCTTCATGTGAATGGGAACGGGGCTTGTCTTTAGACTTTTTTCTTATTTCTTTCTTGGCCCAAGCTCAAGATCCTCTTATCTGACCATTGCTTTGGTAGTAGCGTGGGAGATACGGTTATTTTGAGCAGAAATATCTTTTTGAAAAAGACCCATGCAGGGCTGCCCACGGAGTGGGGATATATGGTTAAAAATCAGCTACACGGCAGTGTACATGATCCTGCTCTTGATGCCCCTCCTCTTTTTAATGTTTTTTAAAGCAAAAAAAACCAAAAACAATATACAACCTTTTGATCAAATGGTCACAACTGCCATTTGCAATTTTTATTCCGTAGTAAATGATCTTGGATTTGAGATATCATTGGGAGAGCTATTGCTGTGGGACATTTTAATCCTGCTGCTGTGAGATTTTATAAAAGCCAGGCAGAGGAGTTGGCATTACAAATTAGCTTGGATTTTTGCAAGCAGAAGCAAAATAATTATGGCTTCTAAAGAGGAAAAGACTCATAGGTCCTTTGCAAAAATGTGGTTCTTTAAGGTGTGGTATATGGCAGAAAATTAAAAATAAGGAACTGCATCATTTAAGGAAAAAATATTTGACCAGTTTTTAGATTGATTGATATTCATCAGTTTGGTCAAAAAGATAATCTGAATATTGATAGATTTTGTTCATTGAATCAGGTATGCAGTATAATCAGTCACTGAGGAGTTGTATTTAATAGTTCTGTGCATTTAAAAGCATTAAGATATTTTATGTACAAAATTAATGTTTATAATATAGTTATGAGATTTATGTTTAATGTCAGAAATATTACTAATGTTGCTTGTGAGGAAAATATCAACATTCCTTCTAACATCTGTAAATAATTATTGCTTTTATGTATTTAATATTTCACTAATGATTTTCAGGACACCTCATGCATTTTACTTTTTTATAATTGATACATCATAGTCCCCACAATGCTTCTAACACCCAATTCACAGAGCTTAGTTATGAAGCCCCCTTCCAGAGGTGCTCCAGAAACTGGACCCATCTGAGAACTCCTTCTCTGCACATCAGTTCAAGATACCCACAGCAAGTAATTCACACACATTTTCCATGAACTTGCCTGGCCCTACATGAAGTTCAGAACTGCTGATGTATGTATTCATTGTCTATAATTGTGTGTGCCTCAACCATTTATGAGGTGGTTTATGAGGTGGTTCAGTAGCAGGATGTATCTCTGGTAGTTAAGGCGTTGCTATGGTGATTTGTTAACAAACCTAAGGTTCAGCTATTACATAGCTAATAGCTAAAAGAGGTTGAGGAATGCCTCGAGTTTTGTCTTTAGTTGATGGTGAAGTATCATTTCCCCCCCCCAAATAAAACAAAATGGGGAGTTTCAAAAAAGGGGAGGTTCATTCTGTATTTACACTGGCACCTGTGAAAGATGAGGAAAATATCTGTTAAATCTAAAGGTCAAGGTAAAGGTTTCGCTTTGTCCAATTGTTTCTGACTCTCGGGGGTGGTGCTCATCTCCATTTCTTAGCCGAGGGAGCCAGTGTTGTCCAAAGACAATTACTGCGGTCATGTGGCCAGCATGACTATATGCCGAAGCATATATATATATATATATATATATATATATATATATATATATATATATATATATATTCTATATGTTCAAACTGCTAGGTTTAACATAATCTGCAGAAGCTGTTTCAGCTAACCAGACTCTCCTGAATAACATAACACCAGCTGTGCCTGTTCCTGGACTGGCGGGGCCTTTCCCATTCATGCTACATTCTTTTGTTTACTTCAGTACTCTCTGCATGGAGCTGTCCTTGAAGATATTCCAGAAACTTCAGCTAATCCAGAATTAGAACAGCACAGTTTTTGACATTTTTCACTATACTTGTATAAAACCACTTCTTTGTGAATTGCACCAGCTGTTGGTCAGTTTCTGAATGTGACTCAAGTGGGAATTAACATCTATAAAGCCTCACGTGGTATAGGCCCAGGCTATTTATGGGACTGATGGTCTCTCATTGTCTCTCTTGGCCCACCAAATCTAACCATGAGAGCATACGTTGGGTACCTTTCATTAGTGTCGTCTTGACTCATTAGTTATACCTTCTCTGTGGTATCATCTGCTCTGCAAACTGCTGCTAAGCCAAGCAAAGTACAGTTCAAATATTAACAGGGATTAACTGCTCCCAGGACCCTCAAGAATTATACATATTTTTTAAATGTAGAAGTGTAGAATACTATATGTAGAAACACTTTCTCATGCAGAAGAGTTCTCTTGAGCAGATTTTTCTTGTGAGAAGCTACCATTGAACTTTTCCATCCTTGCAGAATTTGAGATAGACTCTAGTAAAAATTATTTTGAAAACTAAACAATTGACCAATTTAACATCACAAACCCAAATTACTATTCTCTTAGGTGTAATTTCATCCATTTGCTGAATTTAGAATTTTGGTTCTTTTCTTGCAGAACTAATTTCTGTTAATATTTATTTGTCTCAGGATGCTGTCACGCCTTCAACATCGATACAAAGAGGGCAAGAATTATCCCAGGCTCCAGAGAAGCATACTTCGGCTACACAGTTCAACAGCATGAAATCAGTGGGAAGAAATGGTAAGCCACACTGTCTTGGCCTGAGATTGAATATTTAGCTTCTTTTCCAATTCTGCTGCTCTCCAGATATGTTGAATGTGGCTGTTGGGTTGGGAAATAATGAGAGCTGAAGGCACATCTGAAAGTATCAGTCTGATGAAGGCTGGCTTATTCTGTGATGTCACTTAAAGTTTAGGGCAAAAGTTTCAGGGGTTTTATGCCTTTTTTATTGAGCTGCAACAAAATCTTTTGTTGTCATTGTTATGTGGATACCAGAAATATCAATGCTAAATAACAATAGTAGTAGTTTATTGAATGATTAATCTTGTGATCTTATCAATATTGATGCTGAAAGATATTTTTTCCCAAATTGCTCGTGGATTGTTTTATTTATAAAAGAAAAGGATAAGAGGTTTGCTCAGTTCATGACAAATGTTAACTCCCAGGGGGGAAAAATCCTCCAGCGAGGGGTAATCCGTAACATTTTTAGATTTGCACAATCCATTCCCAGGGCCCTTGGAAGAAGTAGAACACCAAGCATTAATCTAAGTCTGTCAGCAGCCAGAAAAAATACGAACACACAAAGTGTTTAAAAAAGAAATTATGTTACTGACACTTGAACACAAATAGTGGTGGTGACATTTTGAAAAAGAACATGTTCTTTTCCATCAGGGAAATTTACATGTCAAAAAATAAAAGCAGCCCTGATTCTACCAGTTTGGAGCTAGGATTTGTCTCCATATCTTGTCCTGAACTTGTTTAGAATATGCAGTCTTTTTGTTTATGTAGATGTTTTATTTATATATCTTTAAGTCTAACTTAATATAACATTAAGCTAGATAAGATGTCAAAAGTAAGAGTCATTTTTAAAGAAGCCTCTATGTGTATGATGCGTGTGTGTGTGTGTGTGTGTGTGTGTGTGAGAGAGAGAGAGAGAGAGAGAGAGAGAGAGAGAGAGATTGATTCCTATGAGTCACTATTGACTCTTGGCAACTGCCTAGAGTCTTAGACGAATCCCTGCAGTTTTCTTGGCAAGATTTTTCTAAAGTGGTATTCCCTTGCTTTCTTCCTAAGGCTGAGGGAGAGGAACCAGCCCAAAGTTTTGTAGCTGGCTTTCTGCCTAAAGCAGGACTAGAAGTAAACTACCACATCAAACTGAATCATCATCATCTTCTCTCTGATAGCCAAATGCACAAACGTAAACATTTGTGCACAGCCAAATCACTTTTCAGATATTTGTTTTTATCCATCAAAATTCACTTCCTCTACAGACCCAGATCCTATTAAGGAGCATGATTGGTGGATGTTTTCCTGATATTTGGTGTCATTTTGGTGGAAATGAGAGAATTAAAGCAGGGAATTTCCACCAACCACTCTCCTTAATGTGCCCTGTGCTCAGTAAATAAGGACAACAACATTTGCTGGGACTGGGCCTCTGGCAGGATAGGAATCATTGATGGGGGCAGCAAATTTAACACTGCTGTAGCTTTCTTCTGGTCAAGAAACCAAGTGAAAACCATATTAACTGAGCCATAAAGACATTCCTTCCCCTTTCAAACAATTCTTGATTTTGTTTTTCAACATATTTTTCCATGTCAACATTAACTCCTTTTCTTTGTAGCAGTACTCTATATTTATCCTCCTTCTTCCTTCCTCTCTTCATCTCTCTCTCTCTCTGTCTGTCTGTCTCTCTCTCTCTCTCTCTCTCTCCCTCCACTTGGATCTGTTTAAAGTTTTTCAGCAAAGCTGTTTTCTTCATTTTGAAGTTCAAGGGAAGCAGCCAAATGTTACCCATTTGGAGGAAAGGCTTCCAAGTGTAATGATGATAGTGGAAAGTATGAAAAGAAAGAATTCAGAGATATTCCAAGAGAGAAGGGAAAAAGTCATTTTCATGCTCTAAAATACAGCCAACATATTAGGTCATCCTCTTTCTTCATTATCTTTCCAAATTGGCATTCAAGCTTGTTCTTTCCTAAATTATTGAACTTGGCTCTTTTTTTTGTCTAAAATAAGCACACACTTATTGTAGAGTGTTAAGAGTATTTTTCTTTTTTCAGAGTGAAATTCAAAATTTCCAATTTTGCTTAATTATGAAAATACTGCAAAATTTCTGAGTCTTAAATTCTATATACCATCTGATTTCTTCATGCTTCATTTAAAAAGATTTTATAAGCCACTAGCTGGGATCCCTCACAAGCCTGCTTAGGTTTCCCAGTTTATGTGATGCAACTTATTTTATTTATTTATTTTAG